TAGGTCCAGGTCCTGTGAAAGGTAGTTTTGGTAATTATTTTATCAGGTAGTCATGCAAGAATTTCAGGAAGGTGGTGTTGGGAGTATGGAAAACTTTTTGCAACCTGGCAGGGTTTTTCCCTAGACAGGCAGAATTCCATGCTTTATGGAACTGACAGATGAGAACCTTATTCCCACCCCATATTGTCTGGTATCTGTTATTGCTAATATGTCCTTTCAGTTTATCACAGTAAAATATTGCTTTTCCAAGACATATGTGTCAGAGTGTTCATTTTTGTTAAAACTTCTATCCTTAGAGAAGGACATACATGAAATACACTAGACCTAGTGTCTAAGGTGGGGAGGAAAAAGGGGTGGGGTGGATTGGGGGGAAATCTAGGACAGACTTTGCATAGGCTGATAATGAGAGTTCCATAAACCCAGGAATATCTATTCTGTTCACCGAGTGTACTTAAAATTCTACAATTAAGACAATTTCTTGGTAGAATTGTATAGTGCATGTTCAACATAGATTCTATTGAATATCATTATTCTCAAGCCTTCACAATCATAACTGCTCATAGCTACAGTTTTGACAAATACGTTATGTCGGTATTCAAGAGTTAATCCATTAAGTCTATATCAATCAAGGTCAGAAAGACAGAAACCATACTACTTTTTAAATAGATGACCAAAGCCAGGCTTGGTGGCTCAGCCTGTAATCCCGTGCCTTGGGAGGCTGAGGTTAGTGGATTGCCTGAGGTCGTGGGTTTGAGACCCGCCTGGGCAACTTGGTGAGACCTCATCTCTACAATAAATCAAAAATTAGCCGGGCATGGTAGCGCGCATCTGTAGGTTCCAGCTACTTGGAAGGCTGAGGTGGAAGGATCGCCGGAGCCCGGCAGGTTGAGGATGCGGTGGCCGGGAGCAGCCACTGCACTCCGGTCTGAGTGACAGAGTGAGACTACCAACTCAAAAAAAAAATAAAAAATAAATAGATGACCAGCAAGCTGGGCTCAGTGGCTCAACCTGTAATCCCACACCTTTGGGAGGCTGAGGTGAGTGGATTTCCTGAACCCGCGGGTTCGAGACCCACCTGGGC